AAGACCAAGCCTTGATTTAGCATGTGACTCTATGGAGTTCATCAAGGCTTCTATTAGAACCCACCAAGGGGAAGGTCACTGTTCCATTCACAAGTACAGGAGAAAATATTAATTTGTTACAGTTTACTGTTTTTGCTTTCTTTTTGATTGAAACTCAGAAGCTCTCAATTCACAAAATTCTTTATAGCTTTGCAACATTAGATTTGGTGCTTTGTAAAGAGGGTCCTAATCCCAAGACCTTAGTTTACATTTACAAAGAATGAAGTGAACAGTAATTCTGACACTACAAAATCCCGCTCTGCAGTAGTTTTCCTTATTTGAAAGTCCTACTACTTCATTAATAACTTGGCATGCGTGGCTATTTTTAATCAAAATATAGTGATCAATATCATTATTTATACTGAGCCTCTCCCACCACTTTCCCCCATCTCTGCTATTCCCACCAAGAGAGCTACAAATTAAAACTCAAGCAAATATGAATAGTATAATTGTTACTCACTTTCTCATTTCTTTGGGTTAATTTTTCTTAAAGGGGACCCTATAAGGCAGTACTTGGTGTGTTGGTTAGGATGCTTTTCACCACAAGAAACAGAAGACAATTATATATTAGTTAGGGTAAGTTTCATCTGTGGATAATGGTAATATCACAAGTAACAGTGGCTTAAATAAGACACAAGTTTATATTTCTCTTCTTAAGCTCCAGAGGTAAGTAGTCCAGGGCTGGTTTGGAGGTTCTACTGTACGGAGTCTGTAGCTGCAGGAAAACAGGCTCTGTCCAATTATTCTGCATCAACTCTTAGAAGGAAATCTTATGATCTAAGATGACAGCTCCAGCCATGGTCACAATCCAGCAGCATGAAGTACAAGACAAAGAAGGTCATACCCTTCCCCTTTCACGTCACTTTCTGGAAATAGCATACAATATCTCTACCTCCACGCCACTGGCCAAAATGCAGTTACATAACCCCATCTAGTTGCAAAGGAGGCTGGGCAATATCATTATGGGAGTGCACATGGACAGCTAAAATTCGGGTGTTCTATTACTAAAGATAGGAGGAGATGATGATATTGGGGACAATTAGGAATCTCTACTGCCCCAATTCAAAAGGGATTTAGTATCTCTTATAAAAAGAAGTACATAGATGGGGGTGGGAGGGATGAGGCTTCTGTTCTCTGAGGTTACTTCAGTTCTGCAGTGCTCCAAGTCCTGGCTTTGTCTGTAAACTAGCTCCCCTATGGTTCATCAAGATCAAAATCACAGTTCCAGGCAGCCCATACAGATCCAACAGGGGAAAGTAAGTACTCTTTGTTTTGTCTTTTTTTTTTCTTTGAAAAAAGAGAAAGAAGCTAGCAAACTTGCCCTCAGCCATCACTGGTCAGATAGCATCACAATCCCATGCCTAGTATAATCTCTGGCAAAGGGACCAGGACAGGCACAGACCAGTCAGCACTACCCCTCGGGTCCATAACTAGAGCAAGCCTCTCTCAAACAGAGGGCTCCACGGAGAAGTTTCACTACTCACACAAAACTAGGCTTCTGTAGAAAGAGAAACGAGGAAAGGATGGTTGGCTTGACGTCCAACAGTGTCTACCATACCAGTGTCTAAGATTACACCGTCATAATTATCAAGACAAATCAGATCAGCTTTTATGCCCATCTCCCACCAACAAATTACAACTAAAGAAGCAAATGTGTGAGCTAGCCCTACGCTTCTAGACTAAGTTGACTGTAAACACGTACAGCTTTCCCCCACCCTCCACCTTGCACTTGGAGACTGCACTCTAGACACTTACCAGCATAAATTTCACATCTAGACACCTTGGTTAACCCTTGTGGTATAAATACAACAGAACTCCCCCTAAAAGAAATACATGTTTTTAAGCTGAAACTCACTTCTTACTTTATAAACATCAGGTCATAGATGAGTTTCAGAGGAAGCCACTGGGCCCTGTTCACATTAAGCATAACTGGCTAGGCAGTAGTAAATCTGGGGAAATAATAGTTTTCCTAACTGCTATTTACTGCTAGCAGACCTAGAAGCACCCACCAACCCTCCCCAGGACTGGTGCATCCCATAGTTCTCAGCTGAGGCATTGACTTCCCAGCCATTTTCTGACCCTCCTTGGGACTTCTTATATAGGAGAGTTCTGAGGTCTGTTTTCTTTTTGATTCATAAGAAATTCAATGGTCATTTTTAAAAGAAAATAAAATTATTGCCTAAACAGGAAAACGCATTGTGCTTTTTTTAGCTATCGTTCAATTTCAGGCATACCAAAAGCTTTGGTATGGAAAAAGGAAACACGGAATAGAAAGAGAAGGGCTTTTTAAATTGACCACTGAGGACTGGATTATATAAGAGCTTTCTTTCTCATTAAAGGAAGATGCTTTCAGGTCAGTGATAAAAGCCTCGCTCGAGGCTAACACATGACACTGCCCCTGTGACTATAAGTCGGTCCCAGTATTATTTATTCATAGAAATGTCTTCTCAAGGGCAGTTACTAAAAGACCTCTAGAAACAATCCTAAAAATGTATTCTGTTGTAGGAAACATGAGTATGGTAGTAATTTTGGAAACTAACATCTTCAGAGATAAAGTAACTCATCGACACATCTGACATCTCCTTACCTAAACATTGACTAAATGTGAAGAAACAATGTATTTTCAGAACATCCATGTGGCACACCTGTGTAGGGGGCACACAAACTGAATGGCAGCTGATCAATGATCTGTCTAGAAATAGATGCTGATTCAGCGTTATTAGCATACGAGAAGTACAACTGTGTTTAACACAGAATAAATGAAGTTAACAAAAGTCACTCAAAATATACGACAGCTATTCCCCATGGTAGCAAAGTGATTCAAGCTTGAAAGAAAGTTATTGTCTCAGCTATATGAGCTTTCAAATCTATATTATTTCACTGGTGGCTATTATGAGAAACAGGCCATAAAATTGTATTTCAGCTTTACTGCCAAACTTCCCACCACTTTGCTTACAACTGAATCAAAGCTTGAGAATATTCACAGGCTAAAGTATTGACCAGGAGGTAAAGATAGGCCTCTAGTTCTATTCAGGGACATGGAGCTTCAAAACCATCAGGAAATTATAGCCCATGACCTTCATTTGCTCATGCCCTAATAATTCACAACACCAGGCATTTTTTCCAAGACTTTTTGTCTCTTTTGGCAAAACTTGTATTCTCACATGAAGCAAAGAGTCTCATTCTCTCATTCTCTCTGGCAGTATTCTAACTTTCACTCCCCTCTTCCCGTCCCCACTACACATATCTTGGAAGTACCTTCCTGAACATAAAACGAGGAGATAAAACTGAACAAAACTCAGAGTGCCCTAACTCCCTCATGCTTTTGCATGTGTAATAATGTTAATTTCAGAATATAGAAGGTAATCCATTTTCTTGTCACGAGTATAATGAGGATACCAGCAGTAACAACTGTCATGACCATGAAGTCTTCTGTAAGCAGGTTAATCCTTCACAGGGCTGGATGTCCAATGATGATGACAGACGATTGTACTTCAATTTTTGTTGCTCCAAAGCAACAGTCTTATAAATAAATACCATGAACATAATTTTGCAAACAACCAAATACAAACCTTTCTCACTGCATTCTGCTGCACTGCTCTTTCAGTCCTATACACTGAACAGCCAAAATTTTAAGACTAAGGCAAGCTCAATTTAGCTTTTTTTTGCAGTTTATTTTTGGCTGGGGCCGGGTTTGAACCCGCCACCTCTGGTATACGGGCCGGCGCCATACTCAACTTTGAGCCACAGGCACCACCCTCAATTTAGCTCCTTTACTGACAGAAATAAATCATCCACCTTTTCCCCTTTTAATAAACAATAGCAAAGCGATACCGGACCACTTTTTCGCCCTGACAGGATGGGTTATTGATGGTCTTTATCTCCAAAAACACCAGAGCAGGAATCTGGAAAATCAATTACATTTCTCTTCACGTGCCCTGCTTTGATACTCTTTTAAAAATGGTTTTAAATGTTTTGAGGACTGAAAACAAATGATAAAAACAAGGACACCAAATAAATGCCTTCCTCTGAGGAAAAGCTTCAGGGACCAGAAAGTGGCATCGGAAGGACATAACCATTTATTTAGAGACTTAGGTTAACCCAGAGTTTAATGCCTAGTTTAGATGTTTTTGATGCCAGAAAGAAAAGAAAAAAGCAACACTAAATCGACAAGACTACCAAACGGTCAGCAGTGGCTGAGGGCGAGGTTGGGGCGTGGGGAAGGGGAGCCGACGACGCCCAGGGGGTGAAGGGCCAGGGCGTCCCGCAGTTTCGGTTCGGTTTGGTTGTGTTTTCGGCCTCAAGCTCTGAGTCACCACACCTCTGACGGTCTCCCTCGGTGAGTTTCTCCCCACCTACCCCTTTAGCAACTGTTACAAAACTTGCAGGGTTCCTCTTTTGCTGTCCTGCCTGTCCCGGAGGGAAGGGACCTGTACACCTTTGGGGACGCGAAGTCCTTGCCCCTTTCGGCCTCTGATGAAATCACCGCGCAAGTCGAGCGGGCGTGAAGCCGGACCGACGCCGCGGTTTCACAGAAGCAGCCGACAGCGCCAGGGGGGAAATCCTGCTTCAGAGGTCGGGAATCCCCGGGGTACCGCTGGAGACCAGGGAGGTCCCCGCAGGTCTCTCCGCGGCAAGTTCACAAACAGCTCCCAACTAAGTCCCGCGCCAGGTACCAGAGGGCTGGGTGTGTCCGGGCGGAGAGGGCAGACCCGACCCCCGGCGATGGGGCGGCGGCGGCCGAGCGGTCCCCACCCGCATCCTGCACCTGCCTCTCCCCGCGGTCCAGCCGCGCCTCCGAGCCCAGCCCCTCCCGGGCGCCTCCCGAGCCAGAGCGCGCCGGGGACCTGCGCTCCGTCTTACAGCAGAACCCCCGGCTGGGGGTGGCGGGGTGCGGGGCGCCCTGCGGACCCCGCCTGGGGGCAGTGCCGGGGCGCGGCGGGCCCCGGCGGGGGTCGTACCTCGGATGTAGGCGCACTTGCCCTCGTCCAGCTGGCTGGAGGCCGAGCCGCCCATGGCCGCGCCGCCCGCCCGGCGCCCGCTGCTCGCTCCGGGAGTTGATGCGACGGCGAACCGGCTCTGTAATTAAAGTGCAAACTTCCTCCGAGAGCGAGAGGCGAGAGGCGAGAGGCGTCGCCGTCCGGGGCGCCTCCTCCAGGTCCGCGCCCTCTGAGGCTCTGTGGGCTGGCCCGGGGCTGTCTGCCCGCCTTCGCTGCACCGGCCAGCTCGGCCGAGGGGTTGTCTAAGCTAGAAGCACTTCCAGCTCCTTCGCTTCGCTGTCATTCCTTATTTGTACAACGTATTTTCACCTGTTTGGGGACAGCCGAGAAACAACCTTGGAGGACGTGAACCACTTCCCCGGTGACTGTAAACTCTGGAACCTCCCCTATTCACACCGCAAGCTGGAGTTCAAGGTCTCATTGCCTTGCACGCCCTCCTGTACAACCAGTTCTTCTCAAGTGTCACCTGGGAACCTGTTAGAAATGCAGGATTTCAACACCCTCCCTCTCCACCCCTGTACTCTCCTACACACACCCGTCTCCAGTTAGAAACTCCGGGAGTGGGGCCTGGGCCGTCTGTTTCCACAAGCCCTCCCAGGATTCCGAAGTGTAAGAACCAGTGGTTCACGATACCTTCTGCGGCTGCAAAGTTGGGCCAAAGAGGGGGTGAGGGATGAAGGGAAAGGGGAAAGAGAAAAATGGAAAAACTTAGGGAAAAACCAACGCTGAGTCCCACAATACTCCCAGACCTGAAACTTGGTAAGACTTCATGAAACTCCGTCCTGACACCTGCGGTTTCCATGCCTTTCCTTAGCAAACTGGAAATAGAGTCTTAGAGTGGGTACTTGTTCTTTTCCCACAACCACTATTTAGCTTGGCAGCCTCTCCAAACAAGACTGGCTTGGGCAGAGGGGTCACCACTGATTTCCTTCTATTCTTAGTAGTCAGTTCTTTAGCGACTCCTATTGACTTAACCTCAAGGTCAAATAGTCTGTACACACTGGACCCAGGCCTGAGGAGGACTTTGAAGGCTTTCCCACACCCAACCACCCCCAAGTTAATTAACTTGCACTTGTACAAAAAATTTCTCACACCTCACACCCAAACTCTCCCACCCTACCTTCCAATCCATCATTACATCCTTTCAATTCTACTTCCAAAGCATGTCCTGTGGGGTAAACCCCCACAAAATTTAAATGAAATGTGCTCCTTTAATTCTAGAAACTGAGCGAAAAGACTTGCAAGGCCCTAAGCGACCTGGAAAAACACAGTGGGATCCTGCAGGCAAGGTGTAAAAACCTCCTACAGGGAACCCCAACTGTGTACTCAAGTCAGCCTGTCAGATAAGAGTTGAAACAGCCCATCTGTGACATGACTCAAAGGTTGATATGAGTAAAAAGAAAACCTCCATCGTAATGATGTGAGTAAAATACTCCATCGTAACTGCAGAGTCTCCAAAACCATAAGGAAACAGTCATGGAGCCAGTTTCTCGGAAATTTAATTGAGTACATAGAAGAGAAAGGTTTTACTCCTCTGTTTATCCTAACCTTTAACTTCAACAATAGAAGTCAGATAATGTATTGTTCTTTTAGGTCTTCAGAGAGGAACAGCCTGAGGCTAGCTTAAGATGGTTGTCTTACTTTCCCAGACTTTCTTTCTTTAGGCTAATCTTATGATGGCTATCTCACTTTTCCGGACTTTCTTTCTCTTCTATAGTTGAAGATAAGAATTGAGGATGTTAGGATTACTGGTCAATGTGGTGTACCTGACTAGTTCCCAATAAAGGGGAGTGGAAAATAAAGACATTTTGCTACATGCCATCTAAGAGTATGTAGTCATTTCTTGCTTTCAAACAATTCTAGGAGCGAGCTTGCACCCGCGGCCAAGCCATCCTTCTCTCCCCGTGAAAGAACATCACCCAACAATGTCCAGTAGCCAACCAATTCTCATCCTCCGCCATCCTGCCACCTCCCCCAACCCTGTCATTTCTTACCTCCATTATTACAACAGCCTCCCAACTGGTCCCCCTTGTTCAAAGAAAAAGCGGCAGAGTCCCTCACGGCCTAGGTGGGCTTCCATCAGGCCTTACGTCTCTGTTCCAGCCCCACTGGCCTGTTTGTTCTTTCTAAGACACATCAAGCTCAGGGCCTTTGCACTCAAATACTCACATGTGTTGCTCTCTAAGTCTCTCATTTCATTCAAGTCTCCACTTAAATGCTAATGCTCAGAGAGGCTTTCCTGCCTGAAGCCCCCTACTTAAGTCTCCCCTCCTTAAACACCAGCCCTTAGCTCTCTGCCTTTCATCATTTCTAATCAGATCACTTTGTAGCATCCAGCATGCATCTCTTTGTCTGCCTCCCTCTACTGAGATGTGCGTATCAATGCCATAAAGTCAGGGGTTTTCTCTGTGGTTGTTTCTTGTTTGGTATTTTTTATTATTATTATTATTTGGTATTTGTTTGTTTTTATTTTTCTCTGAGGACAGGAATTTTTGTCTGTTATATCCTCTGATAGATCTCAAATGCCTAGCAGCACCTGGCACATAGTAGGTGCCCAATAGGTAAGCGTTAAATAAGTGAATAAAAGAAATAATAAAATGGAAGAATCTGGATTCCATGAAAGCTGTGATCTCAATGTAGAAAGAGTAGTTCCAGATAACCATTCAGTGATTCTGTTGACTCTTAACCTGAACGGCCATTTTCTGCAAAGAGGTACTGGGCAGGCGCTAACAAGGCCAGGTAAGCCTACTGCTGACACCTGGAGAAAATTCGTATTCACTTGCAAGGCCTACTGTCATAGATTAAGTTGGGGAACTAAACTCCATGGTACCAATCAAGGACCACGCTACACCCAGTAAAATATTGGCTAACTATAAATTTAGTCTAAAATAACAATACTTAAAAAATATAGCCACTTTAAGATAAAAAGATATGTTTATAAGTTATGAGGGGGGATCTGTTTGATGTGTACTATGATGAGTAATAATATTGTTAATGTTTACTTTTACTATAAAAATAAAAAGTAACAGAGAAAAAGACCAAGGCAGAATAGCTCTTTGAAGAAATACCCTGGCTGTTTCCCCAAATTGCTGGCTTTTCTAGGCTGGGCACAATGGGTCACACCTGTGATCCTAGCAGTCTGGGAGGCTGAGACAGGTGGATTGCCTGAGCTGAGGCGTTTGAGAACAGCCTGAGTAAGAGCAAGACCCTATCTCAAAAAAAAAAAAATAAAATAACAGCTGGGCATTGTGCCGGTGCCTGTAGTCCCAGCTACTTGGGAGGCTGAGGCAAGAGGATTACTTGAGCCCAAGAGTTTGAGGTTGCTGTGAGCTACGATGCCATAGCACTCTACAGAGTGCAACAAAGTGAGACTCTGTCTCAACAACAAAAAAATTGCTGGCTTTTCTGTAAATAAGAGTGAACTGTTGATCTCTCATCTGCTTCTCCATTGATTGACTTAGGTGACCGGGGAATGGACTTCTTGGTCTAACAACAATTTAAACTACTTAATGTTCAAATCTTCCCTCAGGATTGGGTCTTCTTAGAGGAATAATTTCTTTCATAATATAAACTGGCATAATTGTGCCACAAGATGCTGTTTCAATATTGTTATCGAAAAAAAAATAATTTGGGTCTCTTGCCAGAGTATAATTTTAGCTTGTCAGCTCTTGTTTAGGAGTACTCTGAGAAAAGTCTTATTATTCTGATCTACCATTATTTGCTCATTTATAACATTCATAGATGGAACAGTACAAAGAAGAATTTGTGTGATGTCATACTCACAGGTTTATAACCTGGCAGTTCCAGCTTTGACTCACTCAATCCCATATGATCTAGTCAAGTGGCTTAGCTTACCTGCCTCAGTCTCCTCATCTGTTAAGTGGAGCTGGTAACGTTTACCTTATGGGCTATGGTCAAAATTAAGTTTCATCAGATTCATGGAGCACTTGACATATTCCCAGGAGTATAGTAAATGTTTAGTAAATGGAAGCTAGAATTCTTATCAGTAAGGACAAGAGTGATTAACAAAAGCGATTTTCTGCATAAAGTGGAATTTTAATTGGACCTTAAAAAATATTGACTTAAAAAGTCAAGAAAGACTGGCTGCTTCCTTTTCCCCCCAAAACAAAATTATTTTCCCCCAATGGTTTACAGAAGAAATTAAGGAATTCATTATTTTAGTCATAGTATTTAATATTTGCAAATCCTATGTGGGCATCATTTTATTAATCACACACTAAAAATAAGTCTCCAAGCAATTCAGTAACTTTGTGAACCAGATTCAATTTCTCATGACTCAAATCAGCTAGTTCAGAAAATTTCCTATGCAATTTTAGTTTCTGTACTATGTCAGTGTACAGTACGTTGTATCAAAATATTCTTAAGAGCATTTTGTAGGTAAATATCACACATTAAAATGATTACTTTTTTAACGTCTTCAATGAGATATAACTCACATACCAAAGATTCACCCGTTTTAGTTACCTCTTTTTCCAAAAGAGCATAGTTTAATAGATAGTTAGTATCTTTCATATGTGTGTTTTGAGATTCCCTTGCATGTCATAGAACTGTGAAGCCCTTGTTTGCCATGCTCTCATCTGAGTTAGTGCCATTTGTTTACTTACTTAACTGCCTATAGGGAAAAGACAGTCTGAAACATCTGTGTACCCCAATTACCTTACACTGGCTTGAATTATAGGCTCAGGAACTGTGTAATTGATTAATTTAGAAGTACACATGCACGTTACATCAGTTACTAATTTAATCTCCACAAAAACCCATTGACACAAGTATTATTATTATCACCATTTTACTGGGGAGGAAACCAAGGTCAAGAAATTTTAGGAATTGGCAGGGCATGGTGACTCCCACTTGTAATCTTAGCACTGGGGAAGGCTTAGGAGGGTAGAACTCCCAAGCTCAAGAGTTGGAGACCAGCCTGAGCAAGAGCGAGATGCTGTCTCTACTAAAAATAGAAAAACTAGCCAAACTAGGTGCCTGTAGTCCCAGCTACTAAGGAGGATGAGGCATGAGGAACACTGGATCCCAGGAGTTTGAGATTGCTGCGAGCTATGAAGCCCTGGCACTCTATCCGGGGTAACAGAGTAAAACTCTGTCTCAAAAAAAAAGAAGAAGAAGAAGAAGAAGTTTAAGGAACTTAACT